CAGGTAGGTGGAGGTTACACAGCTAAATGCTAACATTTAATAGATCTGGAGTTCTGTGTGCCTATGTCTGTGGCAATAAGGTAAACAGGATGGAACTGAAATCAGATCTTCCCTTCTTTTAGCAGTAACATTTCTAGAACCCAAATAGGTTCCATATTGATGGTTCTTTACCTAACTGATTATCTTAAACTAATTTAAAAACAATCTTAGGATCAGGATAAAGATAAATATAATGTAAAAACAACAACAACAACAAAATTCACAGTATTTTTCAGCTGTTATGGGAGCTCTAGTTGTTCCACGGTCATGTCTTCCACAGATATAATTATAGGTATGCTTGTCTGCTTCTCAGTAAGACAGAAAAAAATGCTGATTGAAAGATAGGAAGGTCTAAAATGCAGATCAGGTCCACAAAAATATTTTGCACAATTATTGTTTAATAAAATATAATAGTATTTTAAATGCCAAATATGTGAAACTTGCATTCTCAAACCGTACTTTTCTTAAGATCAGCTTTCATTGCCAATATCTGGGATTTGCTACAGAACTTTTAGGACCAAAACATATACATATCTGCTTCACCATTAAAGTTTCACAGTCTCAAATTCTTAACATTAGCTTTTTCTATGTTCAAAGTTTAACATTCGTTTAAATGTTCCATTTGTTTTAGTTTTAGCCTGGATGGATATACTGTATGCTACACTGTATTATACACTGTTTAGAACAGCATAGTAATCTATGGTGGGATAATCTAATTATTAATCTGCTTCATAGCATATAATTGGTATTTGCGCACAGGCCTTTCATATCATTAAATACTGTTCCTACCTGAAGGCTGTGCTTGGTCTGTGGTCTGACAGTAAGCTAGGACCAGCTTACAAGACTTACGTACATTCAAAGTCGGTCTCACAGTAGCTGCGGCCTTGCTTTTCCTGGTCTCGTAATGCAGACTTGCTGATCAGGTCTCCAAACCGTTCAACAGCCAAGGTCTTGTCCAAATCCTCGTCGTCCTCTGTGCCAGGAAAGGCTGCCTCATCATCCCCACCATCCTGCACATCAGTCAATAATATCATGAACAAAACAAAGGAGTGTCTCAGTACCATCATCCCTTATTCGAGAGAGGCATCAAAAGTGCAGATCCCCTCCCTTTGCCTCCTTTTCCCAAATAACGCCCTCAGTCAGGTTTCCCCACTGTACAGCTTCAGAACAGAAGAACTGAGAAGGCATTGTAGGATTGTTGACCCCAATCCCAATTTCAAACTTGGACCCTTCATTTGACTGTTCTAACCTGGTTTGCCTTCATCCCCAGATTAGGAATCTAGCAGAGGTGGTTGCTCGGATGTCTGTCCAGATATCCTAAAACTGTAAAAGTGAGGAGACTGTGCCTGGGTGTATCAGTTCGAGACCCTCCTTCACCACCCTCATTCTCCACTCTCTTTAGGATGAATATGAGTAAATCTGATATCTAAACTGTCGAGTTCCTTCCCATCCCCCTCCCATTCCAGAAAGAGGGAGACCCTGGGATCTTCCGCTCTTCAGGGAAGTAGGCAGGGATAGCATGGGTCAAGGGACACGTAGATTGACCCTGGAATATACAACTGGAAGAGGAACATACGCAATGTAGATCACCATACTCCACATTACACCAACTGGGGGCATCCCGCTGGCTGCCTACCAGCCCTTTTCTCCCATCTCCTCTGGTTCCTTTTCGAGTCTTCACCACAGGGCCCAGATACCAGGTCTTATCCTCTGCTGTACCCCAAAGTCTTTCTCTTTTTTGTCATTTCTATAGGCCTTCACACCCCCAGTCCCAAGGATATAAACTGAGGATAGGAAGAAACAATCATGAAAGTTTAATCCTGGGAGCTCTCTCAGTTTGGGCCCTTTCAGATCTTCAGCTCCAGCCACTGGTAAAAAACATTTGTCAATTTAGCCTGAAATGCTGGTGCCAAGCTGTTGTGGACTCCTCAGTTACTATGGAAACACAGTAGGCCCAGCGATGGCAGGTCTTTGCTGAATCAGAGGAAGCAAAACAGGTCTCAGCTCTCCAAACGCAGCCAGAAACATTTAGCTTTCGAGAAAGAAGGGGAAGACCCTCATAAGACTCTGCCCTTCTGTTGCCTGTACAGGTGAGTTTCTGCCACAAAGGCAAGGCGGTCTTAATCAGAGACAATTTCCATGGGGGAAGCTGGGTTAATCTCTTGACATAGAAGTAACAGAGAATCCTGTGCCATTTCAAAGAGTAACACTTTTATTACGGCATAAATTTTGGTGACATCTAAGGAATTGGAGTGTTGTTTGTGAAAGCTTACTAGATCCTGTTATAGATTTGTTAGTACTGTATTTACAATGCCATGAATTCTCAATTAAAGTCAAGGCTCAGCCTTGGAACTGGTTTTCAGCAACAAAACTGATTCCCACTATGTATAAATTATGATGGGATATAAAGCACATAGTTTAGAGCATACTGAGTAGTTACACCCCTTCTTAGAAATAACATGATTGTAGGTAAGGACACACAGGTGAGTATTCTACAGAGACTTCAACCCCTTGACTCATTACTTTAGACATTCAACACTGCTCTGTAATAGTATATCTGATGGCTTTTGAAGCAGCCTATCAGTAAATAGTCAATTTGCTTTTGGTGTAAGGTGCAGGGCTGATACAGCATCACATTTCCTTCTTCTGGAAAATTACAGAGAGCCCATAGAGCTAGAGACTCCAAATGTCATAAATTACATCTTAATGGTTTCATTTAGAGGACTTAATTTGGGGACTAAAAATGAAACAAAGGTCAGCCATTTCTTACATAAGTGTGTTTTTCAAATTCAGGGTGGTTTGCTTTCTGTATCAAAAATGCATAAGATCCATTTTTGAACTAAATATCACAAAATGAATCCCATTACCTGTTCACTAGGGGCAATTTTGTAAGCGTAGCAACAGGGTAACATTATAGTTGCAGACTGACCTACCCTTCCAAGTAGTTAGCTGTTATTGACTTGAATTAAGCTGTAGACAATTGCCATATTAGCAACAGATCAACATTATATAGCATGACATACCAGTTTCTCCTATTCTTTGCCAACTGCTTTGTATGTAATACTATTATTTTTATTATAAAACAATAGTAATAAGACAGGCAGTGTAAGATTTTATAGAATGCAGCCAATTATATAAAATTATTTATTCACAGAAAGTTAACCTTTCTAATCTTTGAAATAGCACAAGGAAAGCATACCAATGTAAATTTAGAAAAAGGAAGTGACCTCCTCTTTCCTGCAGGTATCTGTACTGCCTGAAAACCTGAGGGTCAGGTGGACTTCCTAAGCAATGTGGAATGAGAAGAATCACCAAAAATCAGTCTGAGGTCCACCCTATTAGACTACTATTTATTAGATTTATATTCCATATTTCCCAAGACGCTCAAGGCAGCATACATTCCACTCCATCCCCAGTTTTATCCCCGCCACAACCCTGTCAAGTAAATTGGGTTGAGAGATAGCAACTTGCCCAAAGTTATCTAGTGAGCTTCTGTGACTGAAGGTGGACTTGAACCTAGATTTCCACTACCTTAACTACAACATAAGACTGCACCTTAAATATTATACTGCACATCTCTCTCCCAAAAACCTCTTCATCCCATACTGTTTAAGGGAGCCCTCCACTCTCTAGGGAAGATTTTTGGGGAATGCAGATGATTGCAGGGAGAAGAAGACAATAAACCTTTTTCCTGTTTATTGCCAATATCTCACTTCTGAATATGAAAAAGGCAAAATGTTGGTAATGAATTCCAGGGAGTAAACTGTTAATCTGTTGCAGGAAAAATCAATTGAAACTCTTATGGTACTTTAAAGACTCAAAAAACTAGTACTATGCTAATGTCTCAATAAATCTGTTTAGGTTTTAAAGTGCCACAACTTTTTCCCAAGACTTCCAAATCTTTAAAGTGCTATAAGACTGATAAAAACAACTAGTGGTATTTTTCAATGATGGGACCAATAAACTACTTAGTCTAACAAAGTGCTTGGACTCAGAAGAATGTGAGCAACTTCTAGCTAAAAGGCTTGTATTTTAATCATTTTCCTAATTTCCAGTTTCCATATCTTTTCATTTTTGTAATGCTTGAAAATCAGTCAAGGCATTTTTTAAAAATTACCTGCTGTACATTGGTGAAGATGCCTCCCAAAGGAGCAGTATTCCCAGCTGCCATTTTAGTTTATGATCTATGGGCCGTCATACAATGTTTGGGCAAGTATCAACCTTTCTCTTTCATTAACAGGCATCCAATAAGTCTGAGACGTGGCATAACCTGTGGAGAAAGGACATAAAGCATTGGCAAGTGGATCAGAGAAATGGCAGGAAATTGTAGCTACAGCTGTGATGATTACGAGCTAATGGAAAGTAAGAGCCACTGTTCAGAATCATGCGACACTCTTATGCATGACATTGAGTTCTAAATTAATTATAAACACTCAGAAAAGGAACCTGGATATTGCTGTGGACAGTTCAGCAACTTGCTTGGCTCATATTGCATACGGCTGAGTGTTAGGATGTACAAGGAATGCATAGCACAGTAATAATTTAATAATTCAGAAAGTCATGTGCCATCATAGTTGCCGGTCCCATGAAGTAATGAGGGGAATGGGAGTGAATGCCCACTGGATGATCCTGAGAGTTAATTGAATAGACTGGGGAATGAAACAAAGTGAGATCCCACAACAGATGTTTGCAAATAACAATAAAGGGAACAAATAATACAAGAGTTAAATGGCAGCCATTTATAGCTAATCAGAGGCATAGCTGAGTAATCTCTCCATTTGTGTAATCCTTATGTAGTCACTGGGTCTCACAGAGCAGCAACTAGTCTCTGAATAGCTGTCTTGGGATTTTTTGACTGTTCTTCAAAATAGTTGCAGAGTACATAGAATTGCTTTATCTTTGATTTAAAAAGGACTTGTGAAAGTATTTTTTGTTTCCCCACTGGGCTAGATTTAATTATTTTATGATTTGTTTCAAGATCAGGTGCTGATCAATTTTTAGTTTGTATTTCCGTAAGTTGATTAGAGGAGGCCAGTTAATAACTATAGATAGTTTTCTCTAGAAGAATCAGGAGCTATTATTTTCTTTAGAAGAACAGCAACTGTCCCACAGCAATGGAGTTGTTTGTTACAAATGGACACATTACACTGATTGTAAAGACTTTCCAAGTAAGCAAATTACAAGGTTAAATAAATTTAATTATACACATATGTTTTAGATTTCTAGTTTGCCGACCTGAACCAGAAATAATTTAGAGTTCTTAAAAGGCCATGCAATCAGCTCATCTAAAAGCATCACTTCATTATATAGCAACTGTTAAAAAACATATCTATACAAGTTTGTAAAGTCCTGGACTGTGTGAAGAATTTTATGAAATGCTTAAATTAAGACAGTAATAGCTTTGCTGGGCAAGAAAAACTTCCCTTGGGCAACAATAGATATTGTCTAGAAGACCAACACTATTTTATTATAATGCTCTAAAGGTAAGAATACTTGAGTGGAGCTCTGTTCTTGATGACCATAGAGACACAACCATACAGTTTTCTACATTATATGCAACTATAGCTAACTTTAATTTTTAAAAATGCATTCTATTTTTAGTTTTGATTCACTTAAAAACTTCCAAATAAGGTTTATAATAGTGTGGCCTGCTGTTGATAAATTATTTCATCCTAAATAGTACTAAGAGAAGCTTCATAAACTTTAGAGATATTGCTCTGGGGATGTCATCTATAGACTTCTTGCACTAATGATAATGCTGTCAATGATAGCACCCCAATTCGGAAATATCCTCCTCCAAGAGATACAAGTGGCACAAATATTATAATCGTTCAAGTGCTACATTAAGACTTACTTGTTCTGGCATTTTAGAAGGTCATATTATTATAAGTCATCCATTTATACCACCGTATTCCCATAGGACTTTCAGTGGTTTTACAAGAATACACAAACAACTAAAACATCCGCATTCCTTTTAAAAAAAGAAACCTTAAAAACATGCAAGAGCCAAACTCCACTCCCCCCCAAAAACAGGTGTGAGGTCCCAAATGTCCTCTGGAAGAGCTCTGTTTTCAGCTGTTTCTGCAAGGTAGCTAATGTCAGATTACTCTAAGATTAGTCTTAGATTAATCTAAGCTCTAGTGGGAGGCCATTCTAGAGAACTGACGCTGCTACAGAAGGGCAGTGTCTCCAAGCCTCACCACTGCCAAACCTCCCAAAAGTGGGGAACTACCAGCTGCTTTTTCCAGCAAGATTGAATTTGTCAGGCCAATTCTAGTTTGTGAACGCGGTCCTGAAAACAAAAATTAAACATTGGTCTCCTATCCACTTATATCATTTTAGATACTAATGCTCAAAGTACAACTCCAGAGCTTTCTTTTACATAATACCACTCATTTAGCCAAAGGTATTCATATCCCTAACATCTGCTTATGATCTTATTTTCTTTGCTGTTGATATGTTCTCTCCCATGTGCTGAAACAGCAAATCTTGAGATTCAGATGTTGTATTCTGACAGGTTTGTTAGAGATTCCCACCAACATTCCTGATAGGATTAGAAAATCATGTATTTTGCAGGCACTGCACAAGTTCTAATATTTTAAAATATGAAGCATTATTATTATGCAAGTTTAATTCTATGAAGTTTGCTATTGTCAATTCTGACTGGCAATAGGTTTCCAGAAACTCAGGCAAAGATCTTTCTTTTCTTAAAATTCTGAAGATACCACGCAATAAGACTATCATGTTTCCTTTCCCATTCCAATAGCCACGTTCACTACTTTATAAAGTGCAGCAACTAACGTTAAACCTAAGGCTTTTACAACTGCATAGCAGAGAAAGGAAAGACTTTATAATATTAGGTGGGGAAAAAAATAAATAAAATGTGTTCTCTTCCTATTTTTGGAAGCTTTTATCTCATACCTGTTTGGAGACATATACACTGTCCTAAACTCATTAGAGGAGGAGTGGGATAAGAATGTAGTAAATGACTAATAACATAAATGGATTTATAAGGAGTCTCCTACTTGAGCACACAGCCCCCAAGGCATTCTCAGACTTCTTCACTGGCATCCACAAGCCATCCCACCCAAAGACATTTTTTTGCAAATTGCACACTTGAAAGTTGGAGTTCAAAGAAAGAAAAGGCAAGAACAGTTGAGAGCATGGTGGGGCTCATTGTGGAGTGTTAGAGTTTGTGGTGATGTGCTGAAAATGTGTGGCAATAGGACTGGGAGGAAAAAATCAGTGGCCAGTATATTATACATCATGCTCACAAGCTAAGGTTCAAATGGTAACTGTTCTAAATGGCAGCAATTTAATCATTGAAAATTTGTCCATGATGGGTACTTGGAACTGCAGGCACTCAGAGGATAGAGAGAAGGAGCCGAAAAAGAGTATCACTAACAATAGTACATAGATCTGTGGAAACCCCACCCTTGATACATAAATCCTGAGATAATGGCCTAGAGTGTAGGAAGCAGGAAAGGGACAGCTATGAGATCAGGAGACAAAAGGGTTCTGTGAGAAGCAGTAGCAATAGAGGTGTTTTTTTGTTAACGAAATGAAGATTTTTAGATGATGATTGGGAACTTCTCTTTAAAATAGGGTTTCTATCTGTTTTTCCTGGTAGAGCTCCTGTGTCTTGATAAGCAGAAATCGAGAAAATGATGCTTAGAAATATAGGAAGCTGCCCTATTTTGGGGGGGGGGGTCATTTAACTTAATACTGTCAACATTAACTGATATAGTCCTTCAAGGTTGCAGGCATGAGTTTTTCTAGCCCGACTATGAGATGCCAGGAATTGACCCATGAGGTACAGAGTTAAGAAACACAGATGAGTTCCTGATATGCATACTTCTATTAAATAACCGATTGACAATCAATGTATTAATAAATGTGTTAATTTATTATTATGTATTTTGACACTTCTTCTAAAAATTGTTGTTAATGAGCCAGATGGGCCACTGGCCTAGAAAATACACAACTTACAGAATAGTTACTGATTCTTAAGGCATATTAGTCTTGCTTGCAGTTTATCTTTCTCTCATATGAACTGATATTCTCTTACTGATTACCCAGACTCTTATTTGTATATCGGACCATTTTGCATTCAGACTATGGGCATATCATATTTTTATTTTGCAATTATACACTGCTGAATGCAGTAGGAACACTGTTTGTAATTTAGGTTTTTCAGACCTATGGTAATGAACAAGGAAAAGCAACGGGAGGAAGAAGAGGACAGATTTGATTAGAGACAGACGTCACTCGCAAATTATAGGTTGTTGGTGCCAAAAGGAAACAAGGAGAGAGGGACTGAATATGCGACATGGCAAGAAACAATTGCTCAAAATCTCACATTGTGCATATCTGAAGTTCAGATCTGACCCTGATGAGAAATGGATGAAGACATACAGCATGCACAGAGGGACAAGAGAGAGATAATTTTTACATTTACTATGGTAATAGGAATTGCCTTCTGTGAGTAGTACCGGAGCTCACACCCACCTCACAACCACACCCTCTGAAATGGAAGTGTTGGCCACTAATTCCAAATATGCAGAGCTAATGATAGAAATGTACCTTACACTTCTTCAAAGACAGTCTATTCTTTGTTACTTCTACATTTTCTGTCACTGAGACCTGCCATTGAAAATACTTTCCAGAGCTGAGTCTTACCTCAAATAAAATCCTTATGAGCAATAAGGAGATGGTGATTCCTTGCCTGAGGGGATGCACTGGTTCTCGTCTTGTCAGAGGACTGCAGATTTAACGAGCAGGATGCTACTTGCACTTCTTTTGGCATGCCAGAAATACTGGATCATATGCTGCTGAGAGGTGGGAGTGTACATACACTTCTCTCACACACATATGTGTGCCTCAGCCCCCTCTTTTCTCTCTTGTATTTGCTGAACAATTGTAAGGCACACTTACATCCTGCAGTCTACTACCCTGAGAGATACTTAGAATACCCTTTCTCGCAGAAAAGGTCTGACACTCTGATGACTGGAGGCTAAAAACTCTTCTACAACAAGGCAGAGAGAAGAGGAAAAGCTCTTCTAAATGGATCCTATCATGGAAACCTGGGCTCTGCTACATGGGGGAAATCTCTGCCTTGCACCTGGTAATGTCAGGGTAATGGAGATGCTGGATCAGAATGGGAGGGAGACAGGAGTGGGGGTGGGGAGGAAAAGAGGTTATACAGTACCTTGCAGCTGCTGAGAAGGAGAGCTGCTTGCCTCCAGCCAGGGGTCCACAGAATGCACACTGCTGCAACTGCCCTTTTCTTGCCCTCCTTCCTCCTGCTGAAGATCACTCAACATGTGTCCATTTCCCTGCTAGTGGCTCAGGTAGGGCGGCTGTGCTAAGACACCTCCTCCTCTTCAGTGCAGCAGCTTTCTGTTCCTACTGCAGGCAGCCATCCAGTGCTACGGGCTCTGCTTAGAGACGAGCTGCACATTGGCTGCTCCTCTCCTTTATTTGAAATTCTGTGTGATGGTGAGCTGCAAGGCTATGAGTCACTCGCTGTTTTTTGCAGAAGCAGACAGCAGCTGAGCAAGTGGCTATTCTGGAGAGGGAGGTTGGAGGGAGGGTCACAAGTAGCCTCTCTGATACAGTGACATTGGCATCACTGTGCCTAATTAGCATGGTACTGGGCTCACCCTATGCACTTTATGGGTAGGCAACACAGCATACACTCATTTATGCTTTCATGTATTCTCCCAGTTCCACATAGTTGTGTGTGTGTTGTATTTCAGTGTACAGTGTTCCATATATGATGTGAGAGCTATCACGGTCTTTGATTAAGCTGCTGCCAGAGAATCACTGAATGTTGCTTCCTCTTAGGAATTCTTTAGTTGCCTATCTCAATCTGCACTCCCCACCATGTACCATGAGGGATAAAAATACCTTCAGGGTTGCTGTAAGAATGATCACTGGACGATGCATGCGCAGCATTTAAACATGTGTAACAGTTTCATTTGTAATACAAATAATCAACCAATTACAGAATTATACTGACATGTGCTGTAAACAATAGAAAATTCTTGCTGATAGACTATAAATGCATTCACATGCATAGGTGTACATTTAAAGCAGCTTCTAGTTTTAACCTGATACTGAAGCCAGGTTAGAAGTTACGGAAGGGAGGGTATTTTGATTATCAGTTGTAATAACAAATCAGTCCTTCATACTGGCCAGACAATACTTGTTTTGTCTTTGTTGTTAGAATCTAATTATTCATGCAGTTTTGCCCCCTTGGAAATTAGAGCTGGTAATTTGACCCTCAGCTATTTTCTCAAAAGGATATAAACAGAAATGACAGGAGCAACTGTTGGTGCCTTATAATAACTCATCTAACAAGAAAAGCCTTGACATGAAGACTCAAAATTTTTCTCTAGGAACAGATGAAGCAGATCACATATTAAGGATTCTAAGGGCACTTCCACCTGTCATTGCTTTTGCATTTTACATTTACTCCCTAATCCTCTGGAGAGCATTTCTACACAAGGCAATTCAAGACTTCTGTGAATCCCAGAGGTTTGGCAGGTGAACCAATCTTCTTCTGACTCAAATGTAACCCAGATCACAGAAAAAAAGTTGTCAGTCTTTTTACAGCGATGAAACTCTCAGAGTAACCATTTCACCATTGGAGGAATTCTGCTTTACCTCTCCTTCTGGCTCCTGAGTTTCAACCACATCATAGGCCCTTTAACAGGTGTGCTGAGATGCGGTGGACTGGTCTGTTCCTGTTTCTCTTTGACGGAAATGTGTTAGACACGCACAGCAACATGCTGCCTGGGCTTTTTTTTTTTTAATTCTTTCCTTTTTGCATTGAGTGAAGGGATTTGGGATATTCCAGTGGAACGGAAACTTTCAATTAAGGTAGAAGTGCCTTTTCCATAACTTTCTTTGGCCTAAAAGGTATGATTTTATTTATAACTTACTGTTTCTTTTTTCCCACCACTGCAGTCTGCAACCATGGTCTGAAACATTGGGAAAGGGGTTTTTTTTGTGTGCCTTCGAGTCAGTGTTGACTCTTGGTGACTGCCTGGATTAATCCCTGCAGTTTTCTTGGCAAGATTTCAGAAATGATTTGCTATTGCCTTCTTCCTAGGGCTCAGAATATGTGACTGGGCCAAGGTCACCCAGCTTGTTTTGTGTCTAAGGTGGGACTAAAACTAACAGTCTCCTGGTTTCTAGCCAGGTGCCTTAACCACTATCCCAAACTAGCCCTCTATTGGGAAAATGGTTGGCTGAAAATCTGATGACATGCTATTTTCACAGCTTTCAATGGGACTTTTAATAATATGAGGAATAATGTATGCTAGCCAGACAGCATCAACCCACAAAAATCATGGTGTTTTCCTGAATGGCGGGGGGGGGGGGGGGGGGGAAAT